CTCCCCTTACCTACTATACCATACCATGTCTATAAAAGTAGGTTGCCATCGAAGCAGCATAATTAATATTCCTAGCCAGCTATCCTTTAGTTTTTTCTTTCCCCTCGCTTTTTCTGGGGTCTCGACTTCGCTGGCATTTTGATTAGTCATTTATGGGGCCTTTCGCCCTTTGTAGGACTTTTATCGCCCGGAATCCCGACTGAGCCGCAAGGAACAACATTTTCGGAGGTCGTGGAGCTGCGTTGATTAAGTGCCGGCTCATTTGTGAAATTCCAGGATGGTGTAACTTTTAATTGGAAACTATGCGTTGCAGTTATGTGGTACCCATCACGCGTCTTTTCGAATCCCTCGGAATGGAGTCCTTGGGCCAACCTGCAAAATTCCCCCATTTCCTTCCCCACCCCATTAAAAGACTTGTGGTTAATGCAGATATAAGCTGTAATTGAATTGTACACATAGAGTAAAATATTTGTTTATCGTTAAGTGTGTCCATTCAATTTGATTGAATGAAGGTTTCACAAAAAAAATTATGAAATACAGATGCATATGCATGCGTACTAAATCGTGGTTTTCTACATGTATAGTAAGTTTTTCCACGCGGAACCATCATTGCCTTTGCTTACCTAAATCAATTGCTTTGCTCGGAAACTTTGAAATCACTCGGAATTTATTTGGGAGAAGAGCAAAATATCGTTCAATGTGGGTTTTGTATACTTATGTATGTATAAATATGGATATCAATTACAAATAGAGATTTCTTGCAAACACACATATATCATAAATGTTTAACGTACATCAAAAATGGTTGGTTAATTAATGTGTATATTCGTGTAAAATAGAATAAACTACAGTATCTTTTGATTTGTAAAGAATTTTGTAAGTCAAAAAAGTGGCATTTTATGGGAATATTTTCGATGTTATTGACTTGATTTTTGATTTCAATCGAACGGAGTGAAAGTGGGGAAGGGGATCGAGAGCAAACTATAAAGGATGGATAGGTAAGGATACTTCAGTTCCTTTTCTAAAACTAAACCTCCGTTCGCGTAACACACGTTAATGAAATATCATCACAAGTTGTCCATTAGTCAAATGGATTCCCATAAAAATGCATCTAAACTTTTTTTTCCGAAATTCGTATAAAGATTGGTTTAACTTAACTTACGCACTCAAATAGCGAGGAATAAAACTTGTGTGTAAATATTTTGTATACATATATGTATAATAGGGACATACAATCATATAAGATATATTTGTATTCAATTAGTATAATTTTATCCAGCCCTATCCAACCGATGGGTTATACAATTTGTAAATGTATTCTGAAATGATCGTGTAAGTAGTGTATGCGAAATGGGTCAGGAAATGGAAATTCAGGTTCTCGGTTGTGTTTTCTTTTATCGATTTAGGATGTGTTCATAGTTCGTTTCGAGTGCAGTTGGAGGAGCAGTAAAATCAGTCTCGATTTTGAAGTAGTAGGTAGTGGGTTAAGTTCCGAAGTGATTCCTGTCCGAGAGAATGTCCAGTCTGAGTGTCCTTAGGTCTTCAGGTTCCTTCCCTCGACCCAGCTTTATGTCCAGTTTTCGCTGCCCTTCCACATTTGAATACCTCTTCAAATCTCAATTTAGGTAATTGTGTTTCTAAAGCCTACGTGCTACTGGACTCTCAGCTGGGTTTTACGCATTATTTTGGTTATAGTTACGACTGTGTTTAAAATGAAAGCACTAGGTATAAGCATGTAAACAAAATTTAAAATGAATATTGATTAAATTAACTAGATCTATAAGTAATGTAGGTGAATTTTTAGATTATTCAAGTGCACATTAAATAACTTTTAAAAAACTGCATACTTATAAGTTTACATAACTCAAATATGGCCCGTTCTCTTACAAGTCGAACGTAATTCACAAAAAATATTTTTTCACATTTTTGATTTGCCTGAAACTTTTTTTAACTAAAGCATCTAATCAGGGACGGTAAATAATGATTATTGGTCTGATTTTTGAGTCAAAATATCACCCACTTAGGATCGACACACGCGGAAAAGGAAAATAGCACAGTGATTATCTTTGGATTGCCTATCCATTTTCATAATGGTTTTAAAAATGTGATTTTTATTTTTTTTTTACTTTTATTATAAAAGTCAAAAATAATGATTACTTTTGAGTAATATTATAAAAATTACATATTTTAAAATCATTATGAAAATGGATAGGCAATCCAAAGAGAATCACTGTGCTATTTTCCTTTTCCGCGTGTGTCGATCCTAAGTGGGTGATATTTTGACTCAAAAATCAGACCAATAATCATTATTTACCTTCCCTGATTAGATGCTTTAGTTAAAAAAAGTTTCAGGCAAATCAAAAATGTAAAAAAATATTTTTTCAAATTTTTTTAATATAACTACAAAAGAAGTGTGCTGGAAAGCAAAATGAGAGAATTTTAGAGATTTAAATGCAAAAAACGAAGTCAATCAAATTGACAGTTGGAGATATATATGTTCAAACAGAGGGTATTTTAAAAAATTTTTTTTTTTTAACAAACTAAAAAATTCTACTAAAAATCACATATTAAGCAAATCGAAAGTATCACCCAAAAAAGGTGTTCGGATTTTAAAAGAATGTCAAATGATTTTCTAACAAGATTTACTTCTCGAATTTACTGATATAATACTGTTATTTTAAACACAGCCTATAAATGGAGTCGAAAAAGGTTGAAATTTGGAATAGTCGTCGAGGGGGTTTTGTTCATTGTTCGCTGAATGTTGTGTTATATCTGATCGTTTCACTTCCATTCAAATCTCCACTGTAGGTAATTCACAATTCGTTGTTCCGTTTTACTTGTATTTTGTCATGTCCATTTCGAGCTTTCCCCCTTTGTGGAAGCTTCGATCAAGTTTGGCCCAGTACCTTTGTGATGGTTCAATGGTACATGCATATATGTATGCCAAATACGACCTCTTCCCATTCACCCAGCAGTTTTTCCCCTAAATACATCTAACGCCTTTTCGTTTTGAGCAATACATTTTTTCATTCTTTGCCTGCATTTTCCATATTTTTCAATTGTTTGACGTGAGTTTGTGCGGGGGGAGTTCTGTGTGTGTTGTGTGGGTGAGTGTGTTCGTTTTTCAATTTGTTTAAGTTTTTTTTTATTTGTTGATTTTGTGTGCCAAAGACTTTTTTGTGCTGTCGCTTGTGCATACAGCCCAAAGTAATGTGGAAACTCTAGACATATTCTTTGTTCTCTTTTGTGTTCGGTTATTTTAACCTGCCTTCCCCGGTTCCCATAAAAACCTTACTCGGTTTTAACTACCTCGATTAAATTCGGTTACCAACAAAAATAAACAACTAAAATGTACTTATGCTGTATTGAAGCGAACATAAATTTGCGTAATAATTACAGAAAAAAACCCTTCTTACAACTTATTTAATAAACTTAAAATTGATAAGTAATAAAAATTACACCATTCATTTCAAAATGACTAAATAATCATGGTGGCATTTTGTCTGTGAATTCATATAGTTACAATATATCCTTAAGAAAAACCCGCTATGTGCTCAATCCTGGCCTTTTTCTTGATAATCCCTCTGCTAGAGTATCTTTTTTATCTGTTGCCAGTGTAATTTGTATTAGTTTATGATATGTTGGTGGCTTCTGGGAAATTTCCTCGAGCCGAGCACCGCTCTGCATTCATATTTTCAGGGCCTGTTCCATTTCGAAACAGTATTGCAGGCTTTGGTTAAGCTCATTAAGGGTTTTGCTCGGCTGCCTTGAGTCCCATCGACCGGTGAAATTGAAAAGGGGTCGGGGAAACTTAGAGGGCTTGGATGTTTTTTTTCCTTAAACTATTTCAACAGTGATTTTACTTGATAAATATAGTTGCGTTTTTTCTCCGATATCGCGTTACATTGATAAGTTGTTAATATTGATTAATATGTGTGTAATATGCAACCAACCGCAGGCCAGTCCCTGATCGGGCGCCATTTTTTGGCAATCCAATTTTTTTAGTTTTCTGGATTCCCTCACAAATGTTTTAGTTTTAACCACTGTCAAATGCTCTAAATTTTTTCTTTTAATAAATATTTTTAGGGAAAACATTAAAGTTTTCAGTGCTTGCGGATTTTTATTCTCAGGATATTAGTTTTATATTATTTGGGAACCCAGACATTTACCTTCTCGGGCTGACCTGACACTCTCTTTTTTATCATCCCCTCTCGGCTTGTACCCTGTTTTAGTGTTCGTGCTGGTGTATTTTCGATATTCTTTTTCACAGGACATTCAGAAGTGTAAATTACTTACTTGTCTATATTTTTTTAAATTTTGCGCAAAAAAAATTCTTCTTCGTTTCGACAATTACGTTTTTAATATATCGTCGTAGTTCAGCAATAGCCAATCGATCAGCGGGTTTCACAAATAGCTCTCACATTACGTGTATAGTAAGTAAACATTTTGGAATTATATTTGGACCTGCATTGGTAATGGAAGGTCAAGTAAAGAACCAACTGTAAGACTATCACCAAGAAATGTAAATATAAGAAAAAATGTTTAAAGTATTCCTGTATAGTAAAAGGTTTTTTTTATGTTTGAGCAATAGAGCTGGACTGTTGGCACAATGAAATCGAATTCCATCAAAAAGCGTGCCCACCATAAAATAGGTTTCAAAGTTTGCAATGGTGTGGACAATTTTGCACTGCTCTTTTTGTTTGATTTGGTTTTTATTTTATTTTTTTTGTATATTTTCCTTGTCTTTGTCGGTTATTCGTGACGTTTCCATTTTTGCACGTTTATTCTTTTGCTAGCTTTTCATATTGAGCCATCGCATATGTGGTATGCTGTAAAGTCCATTCCTTTCATGTGTGAAACTCACCGGAAACCGCGCGTTTAATTACAACAAGAAACCTCAAAAAAAAACACACCGAAATAACAAAATGAATAAAATATTTTTCTTATGTATCCTTCTTATATTGCCTTTGCCGTTGTTTACTTTTTCTCAGAGTATGTGCCACTTCAACAAAACCGCAGATTGGTTTCTTTTTTTCATTAAATTTTTTTTTTGCTGATAAAATTCGGTTTTCACTTGGATAAAACGTTTGCCCCTCTTCTTTTTTAGATTTTCAATTTTGTAAAATTTGCTGATCAATATTTTATATCAAGAAAATTATTGTCCGCATTTGCTGCGTCTTTTGTTTCGTTTTTTTTTTTTTGTATAAGTTGGCTCCACAGAAATTTCCAGAGGTTCGAAACCACCTTTATATGCTACCAAAAGTATGCTATAAATTTGTAAAATTATTTATTATAATTTATCCGGCAGTCGCAAGTATGACCACCGGAAGACAAAGTTTTATTTTTTACAGCATACTTTTGGACACCTTTTGGAGTGATTTTAAATTTCCAGAGATTTCTTTGGCCTTAGTTTTTGTTTTTCAATTAAATTCGGTCTGCTTTTCCGTGACCAATTGCAGTTGCCTTCTAAACAATGACTAAAATGGGGGTCTAATTCTGCAATTGTACGCGGACCTTCTCAAAACGGATGATGTGATGTCCCTGTATTTCTTTAATTTTGTGGAATTTGGAACTGGAAAACCTCCTCATAAGCTGGACTGCTGCATTGCACTCCCTGCACTTCCGTGTTCGACTCCACCTCGTTTTTACACTGCTTGCTCTCTGAAAATCTCTCTAAATCTCTGAATCTCTGAATCTCTGGGTCTCTGAATCTCTGAATCTCCTAATCCTATTTCTTCCCGGTGCTACTCCCTCTATATTCCTTCTATGTACATTCAGTCTATACTTCCTATACTTCCTATACTATCTCCTAGAACTGCTTAGATCACGAAGAGATCACTGCAGCTGGAGGAGTTGCGCCGCTTGAGGCTGATGGACTTCTTGAAGCGCAACACCGACGAGATGAATACCTTGGTGCGGGCGGTCAGTTTCTTTACCACCTTGCGGTTGCAGGTATTCCGTCGTCCCCCGTCGACTCCTGCCAATCCTCCTGCTCCTGCTCCTGCTGTTGCTCCTCCTGCTCCTCCTTCGCCATCCTCGGCACCCTCCACCTCTAGCTCCTCATCCTCCTCATCATCACTGTCGGCCAGACCGATCCTCCTGCCCCCAAACCGATCCTCCGCCGCCAATCGTCCCTCCAGCTGCAAATCATCCATCGCCCGGAGCTGGTAGCGTCGCTGCATCTCGGCGGCGGCATCCGCTGCCGCAGATGTGGAAGCGCCGCCGTCGAACGAGCGACGCTTGCGAAACGGACGCCGATGACGAATAGTGGCCGCGAGCATGTTGAACCTGCTCAGTTGGGTCTGGGACGTCTTGCCCAGATCCACCACTTGCTCCTCCTCGTCCACCTCGCTCTCGCCCATTTTCAGTATGCTCTCCAGGTTCAGGGGCTTGCGGTTGGGGTTCTCGATTCGCGACCGGCCCATTTTCGAGGAGCTAGGCACCTTGTGCGGCTCGTCGTCGTCGACGTCGCCGTTCTGCGATCGCTCCGGCAATCCGCCATTGAAGATCTCCTCGTCGCCCTGGCATATGCTCATCTGGCGGACCATACGGCGGCTCTGCAGGTGCATACCACGGTGCTTCTGGATAGTGCTCTGCAGGTTCAGGCGCTGCAGCTCCTGCTCCGTTAGCAATCGCAACCGTTGAGGATTGAGTTTCACCTGCGCCACTATCCCGACGAGCAACTCGTCCACATTGTGATCCAAGCCAGATGAAGTTTCGATAAATTTGCAAGCTATATCCTTCGCCACCTTGCGGCCCACTGAAATAAATGGGGGTAAGAAAATGGTTGGTTTATAACTCCATGAGGCCATAATGAAAAAAATATTTAACTCTATTTTAACTCTGCTGACCAAGTGAATTAATTAAAGATTTCTATAAATTTGGTTCAATCATACAATCGTAAAAATACCTCTTTCCATAAATTTTTTAAATTATAAATTAATAATAGAAAAAATCTAACATGTTATAATTTCTATAAATTTTGATTTTAATTGTAATCATATAACCTCAACCTTTTAGCCCTTGACGCCCACTTTGCAACCAATTATTTGTTCAAAAATATAATCGACATAAATAATTGCTAGTTCGATTTTATACTCGGGATGCGAACATTAGAGAGGTAAAAAAATTAAATCTTATTTATATTTATTTCTTTATATATAAATGAACTTCACAAAAATTTCCAAAAAAAAATACTCATACTCATAGTCAAATCAAGGCGTACAGATAAAAGACCGACTGTTTTGAGCAGCTTGCTACAATTGCTATCGATCCCTATCTTTTTTAGGAACATTTTTTTCTTACCCATTTGCGCATTTTTTATAAGGGGGTACATGGGTTTTTTTTGGGACTCAGGTTTTGGTCAAAAATGCTAATTTTTTCGTGGTTTTTCAGTCGTAGTTTAATCAAATCAAGGCGTACAGCTAAAAGACCGACTGTTTTGAGCAGCTTGCTACAAATGCTATCGATTCCCATCACTTTAAGGAATATTTATTTTTTGACCCATTCTCGCATTTTTTATAAGGGGGTGCATCGGTTTTTTTTGGGACTCAGATTTTGGTCAAAAATGCTCATTTTTTCGTGGTTTTTCAGTCGTAGTTTAGTCAAATCAAGGCGTACAGCTAAAAGACCGACTGTTTTGAGCAGCTTGCTACAAATGCTATCGATTCCCATTACTTTAAGGAATATTTATTTTTTGACCCATTTTCGCATTTTTTATAAGGGTCTACATCGGTTTTTTTTGGGACTCCGATTTTGGTCAAAAATGCTAATTTTTTCGTAGTTTTTCAGTCGTAGTATAGTCAAATCAAGGCGTACAGCTAAAAGACCGACTGTTTTGAGCAGCTTGCTACAAATGCTATCGATTCCAATCACTTCAAGGAACATTTATTTTTTGACCCATTTTCGCATTTTTTATAAGGGTTATTTTTGAGATTCAGATTTTGGTCAAAAATACTCATTTTTTAATGGTTTTTCGGTCGTAGTTTAGTCAAATCAAGGCGTACAGATAAAAGACCGACTGTTTTGAGCAGCTTGCTACAAATGCTATCGATCCCTATCTTTTTTAGGAACATTTATTTTATGACCCATTTTCGCATTTTTTATAAGGGTTATTTTTGAGATTCAGATTTTGGTCAAAAATACTCATTTTTTAGTGGTTTTTCGGTCGTAGTTTAGCCAAATCAAGGCGTACAGCTAAATGACCGACTGTTTTGAGCAGCATGCTACAAATGCTATCGATTCCAATCACTTTAAAAAACATTTATTTTTTGACCCATTTTCGCATTTTTTGTAAGGGGGTACATGGGTTATTTTTGAGATTCAAATTTTGGTCAAAAATACTAATTTTTTAGTGGTTTTTCGGTCGTAGTTTAGTCAAATCAAGGCGTACAGATAAAAGACCGACTGTTTTGAGCAGCTTGCTACAAATGCTATCGATCCCTATCTTTTTTAGGAACATTTTTTTTTGACCCATTTTCGCATTTTTTGTAAGGGGTTATTTTTGAGATTCAGATTTTGGTCAAAAATACTCATTTTTTAGTGGTTTTTCGGTCGTAGTTTAGTCAAATCAAGGCGTACAGATAAAATACCGACTGTTTTGAGCAGCTTGCTACAATTGCTATCGATCTCTATCTTTTTTAGGAACATTTTTTTTTTGACCCATTTTCGCATTTTTTATAAGGGTTATTTTTGAGATTCAGATTTTGGTCAAAAATACTCATTTTTTAGTGGTTTTTCGGTCGTAGTTTAGTCAAATCAAGGCGTACAGCTAAATGACCGACTGTTTTGAGCAGCATGCTACAAATGCTATCGATTCCAATCACTTTAAAGAACATTTATTTTTTGACCCATTTTCGCATTTTTTGTAAGGGGGTACATGGGTTATTTTTGAGATTCAGATTTTGGTCAAAAATACTCATTTTTTAGTGGTTTTTCGGTCGTAGTTTAGTCAAATCAAGGCGTACAGATAAAAGACCGACTGTTTTGAGCAGCTTGCTACAATTGCTATCGATCTCTATCTTTTTTAGGAACATTTTTTTTTTGACCCATTTTCGCATTTTTTATAAGGGTTATTTTTGAGATTCAGATTTTGGTCAAAAATACTCATTTTTTAGTGGTTTTTCGGTCGTAGTTTAGTCAAATCAAGGCGTACAAATAAAAAACCGACTGTTTTGAGCAGCTTGCTACAATTGCTATCGATCCCTATCTTTTTTAGGAACATTTTTTTTTTGACCTATTTTCGCATTTTTTATAAGGGTTATTTTTGAGATTCAGATTTTGGTCAAAAATACTCATTTTTTAATGGTTTTTCGGTCGTAGTTTAGCCAAATCAAGGCGTACAGCTAAATGACGGACTGTTTTGAGCAGCTTGCTACAAATGCTATCGATTCCAATCACTTTAAAGAACATTTTTTTTTTGACCCATTTTCGCATTTTTTGTAAGGGGGTACATGGGTTTTTTTTGGGATTCAAATTTTGGCCAAAAATGCCAGTAAGAATTAAAAAAAATATCTTTTCCCTTCCCAACTTTGTCAACTTTCTGATTTTGATTAATAACAGTCAGAAAAGAAAGAAATTGTTGGTTGGAAAGATGACAAACAAATTTAGGAAATAAAACGAAGTTAAAGTCACCTTCATGAAAATAATATAGGCAACAACTTGGAGCGTTATGTATTATATGCCTCAATGCGCACCATATAAGAGGGCGAAAGTAGGATCTTAAAAATTTCCAAAAAAAATGTGCATAGAATACTTACTCTGACGGGTAACCACGCGGTGCCTCTGCAAATCCGTTTTGTTGGCCACCAAAATAGCCCCACGGGACAAGAGCATCTCGTTCTCCTTGAGGTACTGCAAAACCCGCTCGGCTGCTGCGAAAGTGTTCCGATCTATAACAGAATAGACCACTACGAAGAGGTCTATGTTGTATGTGGCACAGAAGGCCTCCGTCTAAAGGGCGAGAGAAAATTTGTTGGGGAAACACACACAAAAAAAAAAAACCAAAACAGATATTAACCATATGGTGCGGAAAAGTGGGATGCGAAAACGAAAATCGTTGTAATGAAATTTCAAAGCGGGAAGTTGGGGAGTAGGAAAGTGGGGAAGTGGGTGGCGAGGGGTGGGAAAATTGCCACCACCCACTCGAGGATGAGCCGTGCCCCCCAGTTCATGTGAGACGCTTTTCACAGCTGAGACAGTTGACCTTGGCCAGACTAAGGCCGTAAAGCTCCTCCAGACTACATTGAACCCAGAATAACTTTAAATCTAGAACAATTGAAAACTTTACCCAAATTGATTTTATGTTATTTTCTTTTTATAATATTTGGAATATTTGCAACGTTTTCCAATAATAACCGATTTTAAGATTTTAGTTAGTCAAGAAAATGTATGTTCAAATACAATAATACCATTTAAAATCAAAACTCATAGATTTCGTCGAAAGAACATTTGCTTCCCGTTCAATAAGAATTATCTTTTATTAAAACTTTAGAACCCAGAACCATTATGAACCTAGAACAATGGAAAAATTGACCCAAATTGATTTTTAAAATTTTCCAATATAGTCGTTATAAAGATTTTAGTTTTAAGTCAACAAGTTGTATTTTCAATCAAATTCACACCATTTAAAATAAAAATTTATTAAAGCCATTGAGAGAACATTTGCTTCCCCTTCAATTAGAACTCTGTTTTATCAAAACTTTAAGATACATTTAAAATTCCTATCCCATCACTTTGTTTCTCCTTTAAAGTGACGGCAAAAGCACAAAAGTGTTAATGACATTTGGCAAATGTGTCAGAGGCAGATGGCTCTTAACCCACAGCTTGCCCCACTCAGCCAGACTGGGGTAATCGGAAAGTTCCCCATCCAGATGAGGAGGGTCTCAACTGAAAACGAGGGCATTTTTTTGGGCGACGATTTTCTGGGAGGTGCTACCACTAGTTTCCGTGCTTACTCACCGACATCTCGCATGCGGGATGATCAATAATTTCCAAATCCGTTTCAATGTTATCGACTAGCACCGATACCGTCTTCTGTCCATAATCATCATCTATAAAAATAACCAAATCAAAAAAAATAGGTAGCCATTCGCCAGGCATTCGGAATCTCTTGACTCGGAATCTAGTAATCTAGTACTTGTAAGAATTCTAAAAAATAATTTGAGTATATATATACAAAACTACCCAAGCAGGGGTGCATGATTCAAGCGTGTTTTCCAAGTAGTGCATTTATAATTACAAAAAAAAAGGAAGCTCTAGATTTCAAGAAAGCCACCCTAAGTCTTGAGAACTTTCGAGGAAATCAAAATAACAAGTTCTTAAATGCAGTTCCAAGGGTCGGAAATCGATTAAATTGCCACAGAGGCGGCGACAACCTTTGGGGGGCGTGTCGCCCATAAAACCGTAATCAAAGTGATTTTATTTGCCCAGCAAGTTAATGTCGCAATTGACGCCCCCCCCTTTTCTCTGTCTACATTGACTCGTTTTTTAACCGAGCCATAAAACGTGGAAAGGGGGGCAGACAGTGGACTTGGAGTGGGAGACAATGGAGTGCTGGGAGCCGGGTCTACGGACTGGGGTTCCGAACTCGGGACTCCGAACTCGTAAAGCCCTCTTCTACAGCGGTGCTCACGGAAAATGCTATGTCACCACAACACTGCCTAAAAAGAACTGGGAATCAATATCTGAAACTAAAATAAAAATATTTACAAATAACTCTAGCCCATATTTAACAGGCCTTAACTCAATCAAAATTATTTGGGTAAATTTAAGTAACAATAAAAAAATATTAATTTAATATATATTAGTTTCTCCATTTGTATACCCTTGCAGAGGGTATAATGATTTAGGTCAGAAGTTTGCAACGCAGTGAAGGAGACATTTCCGACCCTATAAAGTATATTTGATCAGCATCACTAAACGAGTCGACTTAGCCATATCCGTCCGTCCGTAAATGTAAAAAAATTATTACTTCAGTGTTTTTATTTATTTTCAAAATTTCGAATACAATTTTTAAAAAATCGGACGACTTTGTAATATAGCTGCCACTGGAAGGATCTGATAAATTATGTCAAAATAATACAAGGACCATTATATTTCGTTTTCGGTAAACATACACGGTAGTAAATTGAAATGAAAAATTATCTTAATATTTCTGTAATTAGTTTTTATATTTCCTAAGGTCGGAAAGCTCTGTACAAGGGTATAGAAACATCGGCTTGCCGAAGTTAGCTTCCTTTCTGGTAAAATATTTTGTTAGGGTAGATTATTTTATATTTTGTGGCTAATATGTATATATGACAACGCAGCAATAAAATGGTAAATGTTATTGTAATATTAATAATATTATATATATTTTAGTTAGGCTTAAGAAAAAATGGGGAAGCATTCGGCTAAGCATAAGATATATAGAATGGAAAGCTTTGTTAAAGTGCACTAACTAGATATGGTTATATTTTATTCTGAACTTTATGGCTGAGAAATGAAGAGTGCTTTTATTTTGAGGACTGATTTTTAATTTATTGTTTTTCTCCCAACTAAGTTTTGACTGCACGATTTCTGTCAGTGCATGAGCACCGCCTTATACACGCTTTGTCAGCAGTTTGACGCGAGCCAACAGAATGGTAGGAGTGGCAGGAATAAAAAAGGACGAAAGGACCTGGAAAGGAGTCGCAGAGGCAGACATGACTGCAGTTTGCGTCCGAATCTGTTTGCATTCAGCTGTGGCAAATATTTAGACGCCAGTCGACCCGCATCCACAACGTCCCATTCCCATTCCCATGCCCATCCATCCAAAGGCGGAATGACAAAATAACAAAAAGAAAACCTCGTACTCCGGCGCTTAATTTGCATGTTGCAAGTAATTTTCCATGCGTGGGCGGTGCCGCACAAATTGAAAAGAAAAAAAAACGCAAGCGGGCTGTATTGCCGTATTTTGTATGTGGCACAAGCCTAGAGTTCTCATCCTCCCTCAAATGGGACTTTGAGTCCTTTAGCAGCTTAGCCGATTAGTCATGCAATTGACAAGCGGTGAAAGCCAACCGCGTCGAGTCATTTAAATGCAATTATACAAATGCTTGTGCAAACAAACCAAAGCAAGCCGGGGAAACTGTGGAAACCCCCTCAGTTTTGGTGGGATTAAAACAAGATGCATAGCGCGTGTTCCTTTGGTTTCTGTTCGGAGTATATTATTAGCTCCCTAATAATAGGGAATAAGTAAGGATTATTAAAGCTCAATAGTTGAAATGTAGCAACACCTGTCCATCATTTGCGTTTTTGATTGCGTGCAACAGGTACAGTCATGTTTGTTCCCCTTAGCGTGTTAAATGGCAAAAGCTTTGACCAATTAATCAGTTAAAAGTGGAATTAAAATAATGTTGCTTGTATAAAGTGTACAAGAAAGATGCATTTTTTTTAATTAAAAAGTTAAATTGTATTCTCTATATGTATTGTTGTTATATTGAGGTTGCTAAAAAAGTACAGTTGCGCTCAAAGATTGCTGCAGTTGTGCCAAGCAGTATTTTTAGTTAATTTATTTCTAGATCTGTTAGTCTAATCAAAGCTTCAAAAACAAAAGTCAGCTTAAGTTCAACTAAAAATACGACTGTTTTTGGACTGATTTCTAAAAACAGAACCACTTAGATTTACTCCAAACGGACATGGCATGTAATAAATCTGGTTTGGTGGGCGTGACCAAAGCAGTTCCGCTGCCTCTAGGTTTTTGTGGTCATGCAACGCTAAAGGCCATTAGCTAAAGATGGCCAAGACGACGCCCACACGCAAGTCCGCTCAGAAATTTGCGTGTACCGCAGGAAAGCATTGGTGCAAAAATATAAATCACACACGCAGGTTTCAAGCAGTGCAAGCAGTGGTCATCCTGCACCGAGAAAACTATGAAACAGTTGCAGGACATACCATCTATGGCCTTTGCCAGAAATAGTTAACAAACAACAGCGCACAAACCCACAAACACAACTGTCATAAAGTTTGCCCTTGCTTTGGGGCTAATTAAAACTCGGACTTTTATTATCTCAACCACACAGAGCAGCAAATTCCTGCGTGAAGGACAAAGGCATTTTTCAGGCCCTTGGGCCTGATCCTGCTTCAAAGAAATACACATAGTCTGCACGCCATCCCCATTACATAGTAAGAAAACCTACAACGATATGATGATCTATTTGAAGACTTTTTGCATCATTTTCGGCGTGTGCTTTTTGTTTTCACCAGCCCTTTAATCATGAAAAATTGATTATGAAATAAAGTGAGTTACAGCCTATTGTTTATACTGTATTGTAAGGAATTAAGTTTCAGTCTTTGTGCAATTTTTGTTTAAATAAAAAAATCACGTATTTTTTCTGGTAAATGCATTATTGAAATACATGGCACAATTAAAACCTAATTATTTAATTATGATGTCACATCAACTATCGAAGGGAATAAATCACACTAAAAGTGGTCATGCAGCCTATGCACACTCTTTCCAACTGTTGAAGTGGCAACACACGTGTTGCACAAGTTGCAGCTGCAATTATCTGCTACAAATTAAATATTGGGTTTCGGCAACTTTAGCCAACATCAGATTACTTCCACCAAGACTCAAGCTGTTGTGATAGAATATCCCACACATAATTAACTCAGTGCCAGCTGAGTGTGGTCCATTAAAGTTCGCTGCTCAAAAGGTAATTCGATATTGCTGCAATTCAATTAATTCGACTTGGTCGAGAACTTTACGCAAGACGCTGGAAGGTGTGCATCTTTTGGTCTTCATACATAATTAAGTCTATTTTCGACAATCGACCTTGGCAGGAAAAGAAGGTGTCCGGTCCAAGAGAAGTTTATCCATTGAAAAACATGCCCTGTATGCCGCTTGAACCAGTAAAACCTTACAAATATTAACAGGCAAATATGTAAGCAATTCCTTTATACTCATAGTTTCAAAGTGCTGGCCTTTCATCAGGAATAGATTCACTACAGTTTATCTGCGCCTAATGTGATTTTCTGACCGAGAAACGGAAAATCCACTATGAAAATCCATTTAAAAGCTCCAAAGCGGTTATCAAAGTGGGTTCGGTGGCCACCAGCATGCCCATATTCCCTAGCTTCGCCCACACTCTAGATCCCGGATCCGGTGATATGGTCGCGAAAGTTAATGAAATTAGCGCTGGCGCTTTTCATATTTTATGACTTTGTGCCATAATTAAAATGCAAATGTGTTTGATTTAAAGCCGCATCGTGTGGAGCAGGGGAAGATGTCAGAAAAGCGGATGGGCGACTTCATTTTCAATTACTTAGCCTAACATGTGCCTAAGCCAAAATAAATTTAGAGATTTCCCCAAACTAAAAGAGGGCTACTGAGTCTTTTAAGGGGTTTACTTTAAAGTCCTACGCAATATTGAAAATTTTAAACCTTTCCTAAAAATATCAGTTTAGATAGTTTTTTTGTGGCTTTAAATGTCTTTAAATGCTTTTTAAAATGAAATATCACATATTAATATGTTAATAAAACTTTTAAAAATGTATAATATTGATTAAAACATGATTAAATATTTATATTCATTAAAACCCGAAAGCTACTAAAACTTTGATTAGTCTGTATATTTTCTAATAAAAAGCTTAAAAATTCTATGCAATACTTTATGTGCAGTTTATATATATTTGAATATTTTAAGTATTTACAAAACCAAACGAAATTTCTACATTTGCTAAGGGGGACTTAAGAATTCAAAACAAAAGTTCCAATATTCTGTTATGCGGACTGTACATTAGTGCAGACTAAAAATCCAACCGAAAGTCATATCTTGTGATATAGAAATTGAACTTTCGACTGGCGGCGACTTCGGTGGCAGGCCTGATAAATATATAGTTTTACATTTGCCAAATTAAAAATTGCCAATTAGAAAATGGGTATGATATGTAATGAAAGCCGATGATGACTTACCGAGACTCAGGTCATACGCGCATATGTAATCAGAAGTGGTGAATTGGTAAGTCAGGGTGGTTTTGCCCACCCCAGAGCCGCCGAGCATGGCAATTTTGTAGGCCGGAACATTCGGATCCCCGTCGATGACTTCGCCCGATGCTCCCGATGCGTTGCTACGAAGATACAGCCAATAACAATCATAAGCAAAGAAACCGAGGCACAGTGGGGCAATTTCACACATTAAGCTCAAAAAGGGGATTACCTTAAAGCTAAGAAAAATCTTAAAAAAAATGGCTGTTTCTTACATATTCTAAAAAGCCTTTAAAACTTGTTAATATATTTTTTATGGTGATATGGTGATATACATATTCTACAAAGCCTTTAAAATTCGTTATTATATTTTATATGGTGATAAGTTAAGAGAAATATTAAGATTAAATATTAAGGGATTGATATTGTTCATATATATTTTAAACAAAAATACTAAGAATAAAGATAAGATGAAAAAAACTTACTAGTGCTACAAGCAACCTACATCCACTTGTTTTCACTTTAAGTGAAATTCGAACTTAAGAGTTTAAAACAAATTGCTAAAATGTTTCACTGTGCAAGGACGACGGCGTTTCCTTTGACAATGAGCTGGAAAACGCCTTGCCATTGTTACGACTCATCTTCATCTTTGGGTACCCACACTCCAAATGCCGTTGTTAATGGCAGCGGAAATTGTTTGGCGTGGAAATTGTATGAAATTAGTCAGACTATATAGACGTGAAAATGCCGTACGCTACGCATTGTTGTCGCCATGTGAACTGTCATTTCATAAACAATTTATTGCCAGCCAGCCACTTTTGTTCGCTGAACATTAAACCAATGAACGTCGAAGCACTGAACTCACCTATTGTGTCGATCCACACCGCTGTTTGAAGTGCCAGTGGAAGTCACGGAATTGATCGAACGTGACCTGCGACTTCTGTTTCCGAAAAAGGTGAATACAAAAATAAAAAGGGCACACAATGGCAGAGGCTGGGCATTGAAAATGTCAGGGCTTTGGGAACTTACCTTAGGGAGTCGCCCAAGTTGCAGATGCCATGGGAAGTGATGCTGAAGCTGCGCAGACGGTAGTAGGTCATGTCCAGATCACCGGCATGGATGGCCGAGCGTCTCATCTCCGCCAGGCGGGGCTGCAGGGCAAAAATAAAAGTTCCGAAAAATTAATAAGTAAAAATATATGCTCAATACCAAGCCACAGAGCGTATAAATATTAAAAAGATATTTTAATTAATGAGAAAAACCGCTTAAGCAGTGTTTCCCCAAGGCGTATGCGTAATGTCATATAATTAAAAAATAACGCATACGCACCGTTGACTTTTTAATAAAAGTGTCTGGCCATTTTTAAAGTCAATAAATCCGGTCATCGTTTCATATAGTACCAGTTTAAATGGCTTACAGAACAAATAAAAAGTTCTTGGGAAACGAACAAATAAATGTCCTGGCACAAAAAAACCCAATCAGGCCGACGGCCAGTGCTTGATTTCATTCAACCAGTCCAATAAGGTGTGACTAAAGCCTTTGCGGATGAGCTTTAAGACACCTCCCGCCGGGTTGGGCCCAAACCAAGAGCCAAGCACCAAGTACAAAGTATTTTCCCTGCTCCTGTTCCTGCCAATTGCAGGGCGATGGCCCCCGATGGGCTTACAGCGCACACACACACACACACCCACATATTTCACATATTTGCGGTTGCCCTTTTGGGGCATGGTGGCACAAAAGTTTCTGCACTTTTTCGGCTGCCTTGGGGGCTTCTAGACCCCCCCCCAGTCCCTCTTACATTTTTTTTTTGTTTGCTGAAGATGAGGTGAAGTGTGAATGGATCTGGGACTGCAGTCGACAAGTTTGCTCCTTTTCGGTGTCGAGTGCACCGCACACTTGACACTATTCCGCATTTAATGCCCGAACCCCGACTTCAGACATGGCCAAATCCAAATCCTATCGCAAACCCAATCCCTTTGGCCGGGAGCCATCCGCATCTACGTGCCTGCCATTGATTCTTTTTGAAGGTTCTCGCTCAGTTTAATTGCAACTAGCGCATACTTGCAGTGGAATCAATTCCAAGACGGCAGACGGAAGACGTATGACGGGGGTATCTATAAAAAGTTTTGTGCCGGATGGCATGATGAAAACTTGGGGTCAATGCCCCACAACTGCTCCAGTTTCTTCTTGCCATTCTGAGTCCCCAGCGACTGTGGCAGGTGCAGGAATTCCACGTGCCACGTCCACGTAGTTCCGCGCAGCACGCGTTGCACAATTTTCACTCGAGCAATTTCACAAACTAATTACATTAGCTGCAGCGACTAGACAACTGCAAGTCAGCCGAAGAAGCGTGGGGATTATGGCCCCCACGGTCCCAATCGCAGCCATAAATCCACATTAATGACACACAGCCGTAAGCCGTAAATGGATGACACGACCTTAAAATACTTATTGAATATTGCTTAAAGTCGGTGCAAGAAACAGCTTTCCCCATAAACCATATTTTCTTAAACTTTAAAACGCGAATTCTTTAGGTTCACGCTATGCAATATTATATTCTTTTTATTGAGCTCTCCAGATCGAACAAAACTAACGCTTAGAGTGTTTAAAATAAATTCTTTCGCTGATTCAAAGCAAAATATGAGAATTATTTAGTTTTATTGAAGTCGTTGCAAAAACTAGCTCAAAATCCAAATTTTTAAGTACCTTAAAAAGTGAATTCTTTAGAATCATGTTGCTCAATATCAACTCATTTTCAACTGTGGCCTCATCTTTAGGAAAAAGACAAATTTATTGTAATAAGAAGTGAGAAAAAATGTTTGGAATAAATTCTAGCATACTTAAAGCAGAAAGTAAGAATTGAGAGTTTTAAATTAAAACTTTTAATATATTAGACAAGCCCACTCATAGAACTGTATTTTTGAATAACTTCCTTCTTGAGTACAAAATACCTCTTCATATTCTGAGAATGCCTTAATAAAGAATAAATGTAGGATAGTCAAGTGGGAGTGCTCATGCCTTGCCCGTTGATTATGGCGATTTTTCAAATGTGCCAAAAACGATACAGGAAAACACCAGGCACAAGTGGGTCTGGTCGCTGGGGGATGGGTGGGGAGTCGGGACATGATAAGCTTGGCAGCCAGCCCCACTCCTGCCACTCCTCCCGTTTAAAAGGAGGCTCAGGCAGCCAATGACCCGGGAGCAGAGGGCCAAAAGTAGAACCATGTATCAAATGCTTACTCATGCTGAATGCTGCAAACTTGGCCCAGGCCCACAGTCACATCCCCCAGCAATACACCCCCTTAGATACATGTGTAATCTTTGGTTTCTTCGCCTTGTATACACATCTAGCTTTTCTTCTTGTTTTTCCTTTTCTTGGGGCTAGTGCCACTATTAAGAATATTTCACTGCTGAGTGGAGTGCTAATGGCTGTCTTCAAATGGCTTTTGTTCCCCGGGCCGAGTTTCAATTACTTGTTGTCCCATGTCGGTGCGATAATCCCCAGGAGCCTGCTCCTTGAACTGACTTAACTGGTTCCCGCATCGCATGACCATGCAGTTGCCAAATTTAGGCAAGAATAAATAGTTTCAATGACAGCACCGTTTTGTGAAAGGTTGGGGTAAATGTGACTCGAATATTTAATATGTTTAGACAGTTATTTTTCGCTCGATTAGGTTTAAATACATCTTACTTATAAATCATTTGTCTAGGTTATATTTCAATTGAAAAGAAAGCAAGCTGCTTATTTTTTCTTGTTTTATAAACCGGGAATGGCTTGGCGCCCGTGGGCGTTAAGATAATATTTAGCGATTTAAGGCCCACGGGCTTTATGACACTTGTGAAAGTTTTATAACGCCGGCATGAAAGTAATAATTTATCCACTCACCCTGCGACTTTCTGCCGGCATGCTGGAGGTCCTCAAGCGCTGTCGCTCTGTCATTGGTTTTCCGGATTGGGAGGCCAGGACCACGGAGGCGGCCAGTTCGGCGATGGCGGTGCCCGATGTACTGGCACCCGAGGATTCGCCCACGCCCCGTTCCCGCAACATGGGCAAGTGGGTGGGCAACTGCAGCTGCTCCTGCTGCATCTGAAGGAGTTGCTGCTGCTTCTGCTTCTCCTTGCTCTGGACCATCGAAACGGGCGAGGGGGAGTCCGTGGAGTCGCCATTGCCATCCGGTCCACTAGTCACCTCGGCGACAGCAGCTAAGGTGGTGCTTGATCCACCGAGAAACCCCAAGCCCACGGTCAAATTGATATTGTTAGCCGATCCGCCAGGTAGACCACCTATTCCCATGGCATCGGCTCCAACCATTCCCGGTTTCTTCTCACCGGTACCTTGCGGATTCAGAGAACCCACGGTGCCATATTGTGGTGACACCGCTCCGGACATGGCCTGCTGGAAGGTCAAGACTCCGGCCATTGACATGCGATCCCTAAACACGAGTGATAAAATAAACAAAATACGTAATAAATATTAATTATGTTAATATGTGAGGTAACACTGATTAAAAAAACGAAGTAGATGCAAGGATTTCATACTCAATTAAAATATTTTTCGCTATGTTTTTCATCAATTGCTGTTTTAACTATTTAAATATGGAATCAAATTATACAAAGTAGATTTAAAGATTTCAATCTTTGATTTATATATGAAATTCCTTTTCCTATGGTGTAAAATATTTAAAGTAAATATGACTCAATTCGTAAGATTTAAATATTTAAAAATTACTTCATGAAATTTGATTTGTTTTGTATTGAATATTTTTTTTAAATATTTAATATTTAATTTTAATGTTTTAATATTGCGAAATTCTTAATTCAATTTGCAGATATATATTTTTACTATCATTTTTATATCAGTGCACTTTTATTTCCCTACATTCAACTATTGAATATTATTTTTGCGATATTAATTACACAATGGTTAAAATGAAATTCAACTCATAATTGGGATTCTTAACGGAGCATTATGAAAACGGATGTAAAAGTGTAATTAACCCTATAAAGCCGGAAAAAGTCTATTACTGTTTAGAGGGTTTGTTTGGATAAGTGTTTTACATAATTATCTTTATGATTTTTCGCATTTATTTACACTCCAATCCCTTGCACTTTGGTTATCCTTTAAGCTTGTTGTTAATTTGGAGCAAAAAAGGACCTGCCTTAGGATTTTTTTTTAAACTCCTGTCCTCCCAGACGGGAAGCAATAAATGTGGCCAACTTTTACCTAATTAAAAAAGCCTCCCCTTCGAAATGAAATGATGAAAAAGTACACGATGCTTTTTTGCGCCAAGTGCAACTGAGTCTGAAGCTCTCACAAGCTATTTGCAAGTGAATTATGAATGGAATAAAGCGCAAAACATTTGAAAAGCCATTTGCATTAAATCTGCAGCTTCCATCTCAAAAAACCAACCCATTGGGCCAAGGTCGCTTTGGGGCGCCAAAGACAATGCCAAGTTGTTGGCCCACAAGGAGGCGGCAAGAGGTCACATGTTGAGGGCACTAGGCGGTCGGGGTCACCTAATTAGGGTGGCCCTTCTTCGTCTCTCTTCTCAGCTCTTCTCCCCACCTGCCGCCCATTGTTGCAAAGTTTTTAATTATCATTTTTTCTTGTTTATGACTGGACGCCTTCTGCGAGGACTTCTGCCCCAAGCAGCCACTGCTGCCACTTTATCATCATCTTAATCTTCTTTAGAAATGGAAAAAAATGTTGAATATATTTTTGGAGAAGAGGAAACGTGGCATAAGCTTTTTAAAATGGTTTCGTCTTCTTCTTTATTAATAAGTTTGTGCAGAGACAGGGAGTTTAAAATTGTCTTAACGCATTACAATACTAAATATTAAAGTTTCTTAAACTTGGGTAATGAAGTTTCTCTTTAAGCGTTAAGTCTTCTTAAAAATGTACCAGTGAGGTCATTAAAACCGGATTTTAAAAGCGTTCCCTAAAAGTTCTATGATAAATATAGGTATCATATAAATTTTACCTGGCACTGCTGCTCTGCGAAATCCGCTGAAAATCGTTGGGGTCAATCGGAGCCCCGCCAATACTATTCCTGGTATACGTATAATCCGAGTGCAATAAGTTTCCAGCTATCGATGAGGCGCGACGTCTGTTCAAAATCGGGGACTTCTGGGCCCGAAGACTCTGCTATGAATTGTGATATGATCAAAAATAAAGAGACAAATTGAAAGTTGTTAGCGGTGTCGCTGAAAAAAAACTTTGCGTTACAGGAGTGCAATTATTTAATGTAATATAATTATTTAATGGTCTAATTAATTGGTGTGAAGGTGTTTGTTTGAGTTTGTGCTGTAAATATAAGACCGCAAACCAAATTGTATTTGGTTTAAATTAAATTAAAATGACAAATTTACGCAAGCAGCAACCACATTTTGGTTTAAAAAAAAAAAAACAATTTAATAATGTCAAGTTTTTCTATTGATGTTCATTTGTTTTATTATAATAAAACAAAAGTAATCCCTTAATCCCATTGTGTGAGTGTTGTATAGGGTATATACAATATAGGTGATACTTACACGACTGCCAGTTGGATTCTGGGCCGCGTTGACAAAATCATTAAATGTGGTGAGTGGTGGATCCATTTGAGGAGCAGGTTCCTCGTCCAACTCCCACTCTGTATCGTAATCCAACTCGGTATCATCGGCGTAATGCTGATGTTGCTGATGTTGCTCGAACTGCAACTGCTGCTGCATCGGCTGATGTTGCTGCATCGGCTGATGTTGCTGCATCGGCTGATGCTGCTGCATCATCTGATGCTGATGCGGATGCTGTTGCTCCATGGATAGGTTATAGCCATAGGCCGATGCCGAAGTGCTGGGGCCTTGATTATAATAGCCGCTCTGCTGCTGCACCCTCTGCAGGGCCGCCTCCCGGGTGTGGAACGCCCCCAAGCCACTGTGTGTGGGCGGTGTGGGAAGCAGGCGGTGCACAACATGGCCGCCAGATGGCGGTGGCGGTGCTAGTTGACCCTGCATCATTGGTTGCTGGTGGCCCACCTGTTGGTGTGGGTGTGGTTGTGGGTGTTGCGGATAGGTAACCATCTGGTGTTGTTGCTGATGGATTATCTGCTGATGCGGATGTTGCTGCTGGTGGTTCAGCTGCGGATGTTGTTGGTGTGTAACCACTTGATGCTGCAGCTGAGCAACCCCTAACCCTCCTTGATGCTGCAGCTGAATAACCCCTCCTTGATGCTGCTGGTGTCCAATCCCCTGATGTTGCTGATGAACTATCTGTTGATATTCCACCGGATTTACCTGTTGCAACATCACCATCTGTTGCTGCTGCTGATGGGGCTGCTGTGGCTGCTTGAGGATCGGCTTGAGGACATTATAAGCCAGCTGGTGGGGAGCCGGCGAGGGCACCTGATTCTGGGTGCTGCTGCTCAGGCTTTCACTCTCGTCGCAGCTGGCGTCTGGGCACCCCGACCGGAACCACCGGCAACAATCAGGATAACATAAAAGTAGGGGGGAAATCACTTTACAATAAAAGCGGAATCCTTTTTTAATTACAGAGAAATATAATAAGGCTACCTGTAAGAGCATAACCCAATAGTGTATTCAACTTAATCTGATAAAGGGAATGTACTTTTACAATAAAAGCGGAATCATTTATTTTTCTGATTACAGAGACAGATAGTAAAGCTACCTGTGAAAACTTAACAAACATTATAGGAGTTTTCTGATGAGGGCGGCATAACTTTGCAATAATGAAAGAGTATATATACGAGTATATGTATAAAGAGTAGAGAAGTTTTTCTTTTAAAGGAAAAATCACTTTACAAGAAAAACGAAATCGTTTTTCAAATTACAAAAGCATTTTCTAATTTTACCTGTGAAAACGTAAACCAAAATAGAACTCGACCTTTTCTGATTGAAGCAAAATCAACTACACAGAAAAAATAAGGATCAATTCGATATTGTAAATATATTAAGTATCATATTTCTCTCTTTGACAGTTCTTTCAAATCGGAAAAGAGAGGAAGTAGCGGGATACCGCCTAAATGGCTCTGGATAAGAGCGAGATAGCAATATTTAAAACTCTCCAAAATAGAAAAAGAGAGAAAAAGACAAGTTGGCAAAATGTAAAAGTGATACGCCCCGTATATACATAGATAAAATTGATAGCGTAATTCCTAAAAATAATCAACATATCCTATCAAAGTTCTTCTCTGTGTACAAAAGAAGTACTTTTGCCAGGTAAATGAAAGAATGCCACAGTTTGATTAAAAAGGTGGTCAGAATGTTGGATAATTGAGTTCTGGCCTGGCCAGTTGACAGAAAGTAACCGCAACCATGTGGGCCAAACTACGAAGTAGGGATTGTTCGATATTCTCGACTCCTCCTAGAAAACTAGGGGGGTACACCTGTGCCCGGATGTCTATATATAGCCCTGCCTCTATCTTCCTCGAAGTATGTGTCTTTCCCACGAGTTATGTTTCCCAAGTTGAAGTCAAATATGAAAATGTTTTGCCAGAGCCCAAAAAACAAACTTTTTCCAAGACATTTTCCACCGACTTAGTATATATACATACATATATTTATGTGTGCGTTTGCGTTTGCTTTTCTGTTTACATGTTTATAGCCAAGCTTAAGTTTTCTTTGCTGTTTCCTTTTGTTGCCGAGCAAAAAGAAAAAAAAATTAATAAACTTTGGCTCTTTGTGCGTCGGTGGGCGCCATAAAAATTGTTGGTTAGACCCGAAGCATCGCTAAAAATATGGGCACACATGACAGGTTAACAGACTCGACCACACGGTTACCCAGTTAAATATTAATTTGCTTTGGGCCCAGATCCTGTCACTCAAAAGTTACGATTTGAAGTGAAGTAAACCTAGACTTTTTGCCAAAACAACTTGACATCCCCATGGCAAATCCCTGGGGATTAATGCAAAAAAGCGCCAAAGCAATACAGAAAATGTAATTAACCTTGAATGAAATCAAAGTGGCGATGAAAATATACGATACAAATGGGCAATAAAACTACTAAGTCTACAATTTAGTCTCCAAAACGTTTGTATTATTCATTAGAAACGTTATAAAATGCACAATTTCCTCACTAATCTACATCTCATTATTTTAAAATTTTCTCTGAGGAATATACCCCCAAAAGTTCTGCCCATGTCCAATGGGTGGCCATAAAAATTGTTTTCAACATATTTATGATTAAATTTCATGGCTCCGAGTTTGTCTAGCAAACTTTCTGGGTGCTTTCTCTTAATTAGCATGTGGCACATTCTTCGTCGACAGAGCTTAAGAATTTTATTATGCTGGCGCCATTTAAATTTGGCCAAGCGAAGCGCCGGAGAAGTCTATTAAATGGGGATTTATAAGATAGTATCTACATATATATTGTTTGCATTTGTGCAGTTCAATCATTCGATTAATGAGCATGACATTCGGGGGCATTTGTCACTTGTTTTTGTTCATTCAGGGGTATGATTTTAACCAGTAATTTAGTTGATCCCGCCGATTAATCATAAGGTTCGCGGCTCTTTTCGGTTCAAACATTTTTCAGCCGCATTCAGTCGAATTAATCACCATGAAGGACCCATCCATTATAGCAATGAGTCGCCCGGCTCCCTTTATCGATCGGCTCGATTCAACAGTTTGCCAAATGCAATTAAGTGGACAACGGCAGAAAGAATCTTTAAGTTAAACATCCTTTCACCTGACGGTTGGTCGTGCAAATGGCCGAGGACCCATCCGCAAAAGAGACGATTATCCATGTAAACCGCCAATGTCACCCGTCTTCTCTTGCCCATCAGCTCAACAAAAAAATGAGGAAAATGGAAAAGGATTCAGGACGAGCAGCGGGTAAATGTCAGACCTTTTTCGCTTTATACTCTTCATTTGCCACTTTTTAAGTTGATGTTTAATTTTCGTTTTGGGCTCCCTTCCGGCTCGTGTTTGTTGGCTCTGTGGTGCGGCCTTGACTCATCCGTTTTATTTTTTAAAGCTTTTTTTTGGCCCAATATTCGTAGTTCTTTAATTTTCGTGTCGCACACTCAAAAAGCCATTGTCAGAGTTTTTCTAATAACATTTTCGGCCTAAATTAAATCACTTTTTATAGTCAAGTAGCGAAAGCTAATGCTCTAAGCTGATTCCCAAACGAATTAGGTTTAAAATCTGTCTAAGAGGAAGGACCAACGTTTGCTTAACATTATTCCCTGTCATTACCTGCGGCTAACATCAATGAAAATGGTTTGCTTTAATAACACTTGCTTACTCGAAACTTCTTTCTTTTTATAAAAAATTGTATGTCTTAGTTTTAATTGCGGATGTGAAATTCTTTGGAACTGAAGTTTCCCTTCTCCTTTTGCAATTCATGGCAATTATTTTTAAAATAATAACTAATAATTAAAAGCCAACGTTTGACAACTAGTGTAATGGCTGTTCGGTGCTGAGGGCTTCGCACGGACTTTAAGGACTTGGCTCCACAGGACTTGTCCCTCGACTTGTTGTCAGGTGCCACAAAACAGCCGCAATTGCATCAATGTGGCAGCCACAACGGGGGCAGAGCTAAGGGATCTGTTTTACGGCCTCGTTAGCCGAAGTCTGAAGTCTGAAGTCCGAAGTCCGGAGTCTGGAGTCCGGAGTCTGGAGTCTGACGCCCTGGGGTACGGGTACGGAGTATACTCCATGTCATTGTCGCCGTAAAGTGTCACTTTGTGCCCAGAAAACAAGTCCAGGGCGGTGGTCTTAATTAAGCTGCCAAGCGATGGCCGTGCAGCATGCAAACGGGCATCAGCTCGTTCCGCAATTGGGGCCACCGCCCATGGCACGCACTTCCGGCTTCCGCACTTCGTGGCAGGTCGGGTGCGGGTCCACCGCCATGAAGAAATAGCATGGAGAAAGCCCTACTTGGTAATCCCCATTCGCTGCCCCCTTAACTGGTGACTAATTCCCTAATCAAGCGCCAGCCCCTACAGCGACTGCATTTCCGTTGCGACAAGCCAGATGGCCGAGATTTCCTTTTTTTCCCGCTGTGAAAATAAGTCCCCATTGCGTGCGCTTTTGATTGCGCTTTACAACACTGTCAAGAGATAAGGCGCACCGCAGTGCGGGGTACTTAATCAAGGAAAAACTACGGCAATCTAAAGTACTTTTGCTAGAAGTTTATTTTTAAATCCTGGTTGGCCATAATAAAGCTTAGTAATGCTTAAACGTTTTTCTGCTTTCGCTTAAAAATAACATCCTAAACCATTCCTCAACACTAAGTTACACTTGATAAATATTAACCAAGCCAGGGTTACTTAGGGTAAAATCAGTTCTTTGCACAAACCTACTGGGCAGAAGAAATTCGCGGTAAAAACTATATATTAATTTAGCAATGGCATGGGATTTATAGATATAGAATATTTTAAAATTAATGCTGAAAACTAACCCAAACTGTACCTACTATTGGGTGCCTAAAACTGTGAATTAAAACATTTTTACTTATTGATGAAACTAAATAATACTACGTTTTAAAAAAGTATTAAAGGGCAATCTGTTTATAAAGTAACGTAGTATGCCTTGTAGAAGCTCACCGAAATCAAAGGCCCTTTCGAGGATGACCGATCCGCGTTTCTCCTGCCGCTCCTGACGCTCCTGCAGATCCTTGTTCTTTGAGGCCGCCAACTCGGCGGAAGTCAGGGTGCTCGACCTATCTAAGTTCTTTCCCTTGGGTGTGGCCGGTAGCAAGTAGCCTCCGCCATATCCCTTCATATAGTTTGCCCCACCGTTGTCCTCGCCATCGGGTCCGGGACGGGGGGATTTACCATTGCCGCAAACGCACTCGCAACAGGCCACAGTTACTTGTTTCGGTCCAGAAGACAACTTCTGACCCTTGAGCTGCTGCTGAAGATGCTGGAGGCCATCTGTAGAAGGATCATGATGGAAGAAACCAAGCTTCATGTTACAGCACAGGAATTTACCGTCGACTCCGAGAAAGAGGGCGCATCCGCGCTGCCCAGTCGAACTGGATGACTTCAAAGAGGACTTGAGGTTCGATTTGGAGGGCGAGGCATAGATATTTGAGCTGCTACCTCCTGATCCCCTTCCTCCAACATCACCAACAGTCATGCCGGGTGGCAGGGTCAAGTCCACGACACTGCCACTGCTGCTCGAACTGACATTTGGGGCCAGGGTTACGGGTCCCAGGCCCAAAGCATTTAGTCCATTGCTGCTCAGGTTCAGCGATCCTCGCGAGCGATTCCTGCGCAGCGAGTTGACTCTGTTGGCGTTGCTGTTGGTAAAACTTACATTTCGGTTGGCATAGAGGTCAATGCTGCTGCCACTGCCACTGCGACCCCGCGGCTGAAAGACTCGCTGCTGCAAAAGGAAATACAAAACAAAGATATGAAATTTTTTTAGATTTTATTTTAAATCTAAATTGTAATAGAAACACTTTTAAAATATATATAAATTAAAAAAAAAGTTTTAAAAAAATAAAAAAAAACCTTATAACCTAAAAAACAAAAACAGTTAAACTTCCGTAGGTCGGCCAAAAAATCTTTGGGAAATCTATAATCCAATGTATTTTATAAATTATACTATATATACTATATACACTATATACTATAGTATCAAAAGCAAGTCCTTATGTTTAATATTTTAATATTTTGCTATGTGAATGTTTTAGATACTATTCACAGTTCCAAATGATACATGATGATATGATATAACAATACCCTACCTGTTGGACATTCTGCTGCTGTTGTTGCTGCTGGTTCTGGATCTGCTGCTGATGCTGCTGATACTGCCGTTCGGCACGACCCCTTCGGTCGCCGCCACTGTGACTCCGCATGCTGCCGCCGAACCTCTGCCGCTGGGGCTGTACGGGACTATTTTGGCGCGGGATCACCTGGAAAAATACATGGAAAAATTACAACAAAAAAAAGGGGAACACATGTTTAGAACTTGTAGGGTTGGTCACGTTTTCTTTGGGAACATGCGCGCAGGGCGAAGGTCATCCAAGCGGGAAGGGGGGGAGGGTCTAAGGGGCTACCTTATCCTCCAGCAGATTGGCAAACAGCCCCACATGATCCTCGTCTTCGTTCATCATTGCGAAGAAGTTCTTAAACGTGTCTGGAAAAGAGGCCGGAAACTGGCCACGAGCCTCCAATTTGGTATCCATGGCTGCTCTACCACTTTTCTCCTTCACAATTCTTCAATATTCTTTTCTCTCTCACTCAATTTCACTTTCTTTTTTTTTCTTTTTTAAGAATAAACATTTATTTTTTGTTTTTGGTCCGTCGTCGTCGCAATTACCAAGTAACATGCAAGAAGAGAACAGGCATCAAGGTTAGAGTGGGACAGCGAAAGCGATAGAGATACCAAAATAAGCGGGGGCGGAAATAATAAAATTATACAACATACATTAAATGGAAATTAAATATCTCATTTAGTCATCTCATCCTGTGCGCCATCCTCTGTAGATCTGTGAAATAGGCATTACCAATAATCATTTCTGAATTAAATTTGCATCGCCTGATATTTCAGCACATAGTGAAAATCCCTCAAGAGTGAAATTTGAATCTATATAAAGCCCCCCCCCCCCCATTGAGAATCAACAGTATTACAAATTTTTCTTATTTAAATGTAAATATATATTGTGAATAATGTTTAATCTTCAAAGCTTTCCGACCCACCATATTACCCAGAAATAAATAAAATCCGTTTTAGTTGACAGAAATCCGGTGCCTTTTGTGAAAACATTCATTCAGCAATCGCATCCATACCTTTCACTAGTATAGGGTCTCTGTGATTAAGATTAAGGCCAATACCCAAGTTTTCTCAGTTGTTGAACTTTAATTGAAAGCGAACTTCTTTCAAGAGCAACTCAAGGGTAAGTGAGTGGGTGGAAAATGCGGTGGGGTGGGGCGTTCCGTCAAAATACTTAGCATACTTTTCGGCACCCCTTCGCACCATCCCCGTTTTCCAACTCCCATTCAAGTTCTCCTTCATCTTGGGCTTTTCCTCCTCAATCCTCTTCACACACTTTTTCCAAGCGGCTAAATTTGAAAAGTTATCAGACCGCCGCGCCTCGCAAAACTGATGTTGAAGTTGTTGACGTTTGAGGTGTCACTCCAATATATGTATTATATGTATTATACACCCCCGGAAGACATATATATATACCCCCATCTCGAGTTGTAAACGCAAAAACATGGGACAAAAAGTTATTTTAATGGCGGCTTTTTTTTCCAGACTGGACACCAAACAACTTATTCAACTTTTATGCACTGCAAATGGACTAAACCCACCGCCTCTTCTGTTTAACAACAAAAAAATCCCCCCTTGGGCATGTAAATGAGGTGCAGATGTGAGGTCCAATAAAAAAAAGGAAGCAAAAAACATTTTCTCTTCGCAACTTTAGCGAAATTTGTTTGCCATACTTCAATGCGTTTCCGATTTAAGGATTTTCTAACTGAAATTTAATATGGTTACTAGTTTTGGGTAAGATACCATTAAATTTAAAATACGAATATTTATTGAAACTAATAAATAAGTAAACAAAAATCACAAATAATAAAGATGGAAAGGTAATCTGAAATCACAAAATGGAAAATATTTTATAAGCCAAAAATTAAATAATATAGAAAATAAAGCTGAAATCACAAAATGGCAAAAATGTTATGAGCCAAAAATAAAATAATTAAATGCCAAAGGCAGCAATTTAAGCCTCAATAATGTTGATAATATGGAAACGGATATATAAAATACCAGTCATATAAATTGAGTGCATAGAGTGCACTTCCACAGCGGTTGAATCAACAAGTTGCCTCAGTTTTCTGGGCGTGACCATTATCCTTTGTTGGCAGTATGGGCGTGCCAAGTGCAGTCTAGACTCTAGACTATGATGCCAAGCCCAAGATTCCTTTCCGCGAAGAGGTCATCGGTCGCAAACCGCAATTAATTGCAACGCAACAAATTGTAAGTCACTCGAAAGGAATTACACTTAACAAAATTGCATTATCGAAAAGACGAATATCTTAACATTTCTTAACACAAAAATTAGCATTTCATTTGAATTGAAATTAATTTTTGTGAAAAATATTCCTTGAACAGAGGGATTCTCTCATGAATTCAATTTAGTTATTTGAAAACAAACATTTTTTGTTAAAGTGTATTTTATGGTAATCTTACTAAAGTATTTCGAGTGTTCGGGGGAAAGCACCAGTTTTCCTAATGAGGGGATTTCCTAACCTAATCCGCTTTAGAAAAGCGTTTGATCTAACCGCTGCAGGGGCATAATATAACGAATAACCATAATGCCCTCTAATTTTCCACTGCAGCCCGAATTCGCAGCCAATTTGCAGTGGTAAAAGTTTAAGTCGACGGAGGGTCAGATGCCACCGAAAAAAAAAAACCCCTTCGGCAATTTGCGAGGCGTTGGTGGAAGCCAAGAAACCCCCACGTTTTTTTTTTTTGTATTATTATTTTTCGCCCCCTTGAACATTGTGGGCTGTGAAACAACGAGAAAAAAGTTAGCCTCTTTCGTCGAGTTCCCAGCTCAACCATGTCAAGTGGGAACCTGGCCCGGACGCCCGCGTCGGGCTTATTAAAAAGTTGCGGACACAGTGAATTGCTCTTGGGGGAGTGTAGGTGGGTGCAGAGAAAAAAATCTAGATTTAGTCCAATTGAATATAGAAAGGTAAGGAAAAATGTCACTTTTCTTCAGAGACTTCTATTGTATCCATACACACAAGAAAACTCTTACGTAAAATTGACCAATATAATAGTATAATGGTCCCAGCCATCGAATTGTAAATTTGACAAACAAAATAGTTACTCTCCGAACAACAAAATACACACAACTTAACATTTTCTGGTAGTCTTACTATTAAATAGTAACCAAGGCAGCAATATAATAAATAATATAATAATATAATGGTATGGGTCAATTTAACCCATAACATTTTTTGAGTGCCTATATATTAAACAGTCACTTATGAACTAAGAACTAACTCAATAAAATATTTACTATAGGTAAATACTGTATTATTATAGGTAAATTGATTTACTACGACATTGCCATTTCACCTATTTTTCTGTCCCTGTAGAAAATACTGCGATGGGGGTACAGTCGGGGTGGGGTTTTTCAAATGCGTTTAGTGTCCTCTAATGCTTGTGTGGAAACGAGGACAGCGTTTGAAAAAATACACATGAGCCTACCTTAAACGCATGCCGTTCCGCCTTCATGTCCTCGAATCCTAGGGCCCCATATATCCATGCAGCCTTTTTAATTAGCAAACCAAATGTAAATTCGCCACAAACGACGGAGGAGATTTAAGAGAAGGCTTGGCAGCATCATATTATGGTCTGTCTTATGGTTTATTCAGTCATTCATATATTAAATGAACATGGAGTTGAGGGCACAAGGACACCCATATATGGCCACAAGAGTTTATTGAGCCAAAAAGGCAACTTGGCCCCAATTTCAGTCGCATATTGCAGTGTTCTCTCTCACCCACCTAACTTTCTGTTTGTGCATACAGTTGCGGTTGAAATATTAGTGGCACATGGCATAGAAATATTCAGCAAAAAAGTTTTTGCAATTTTGTAGAATGTTATATATTTAATTAGCAAAGCCAAAAACCATAACCGCAACAAAAGCTACTGGAGATTGTAATGAAATACACGTGTTTCCAATTTGCACAATTTGTGAAAAATTAGAAATGCAATAGGTGCGGAAAATATATTTCAAGTTCGCCTCTTGCCTTGATAAAGAATAATTTTCTGTTATATTAAAAATGAAATTTATTGAAAGCAGTCATTTTGACAGATATATATATTTAAACAATGTACCATTCAATAAAAATATATACAAATAAAGATACTATGAGGTTTTAAAAGAAGATACTGATTTACAAGTTAACAGAATACGTTGCTTAAGAGAACTGAAAGAATTTAAAAACAATCGCATAGGGCTTTATTTAAAATTATATCAAATAGGTAGTAAACACCCCGAAAACTTGGGTGGTATTGTATTAACCTTAGTTTTATGCATATGTCTATGAATTTATTGCTTGCCCAAATAGGTATGCTACAAAACGCCAAATGAGCCACAGCCTGCGGCCAGAGAGAGGGTAGTATAAGGGGCTAAAAAGACGCCAAAAAGGGGCTCAAAAGGGGGTCGAAAAGGGGCTGAAGGAAAGGGGGACGAAACCAGCGTGAGATGTGAACGAATTGAGGGCTCCTAGAGCAAGGGCAGTCATAAGAAACGTGGGCAAAGGTAGGGCCCAGATATTGCATATGCCCCTTTTTGGAGGTTAAGGAGCAGTCACATTCAGGGCCAAAACAAGATGATTGTGGGTCTTTCTGGTAAGTGAATACCTCTGTATAATAATAATGCAAACACAGCATTCTATGGCTTAGACATTTCAAGAAATTGAAAAATAGTATTCGCTTGCATTTGCTCCAATTAATTATGTAAAAATAAATTTAAAGCCATGATAAAAATAGAATTGATAAGCTGAATTTCCCACTAGCGGGTATTTTGCCCTGATTTAAAACGTGAACAAATCAATGAATATTTAACAGAAACAATCGTTGGGTAGTGTCCACAATGTAAGTTTATAAAAAATTCCGCCCTTTCACAATACCATTTTTTCACTGATTCCAATGAAAGCCAATAGTAAAAAAGAAAAGTGGAAGGGCAAAAGCCAACAGTTCATTGACACACTGAACTGCAGTTCTTTAAATATACATTTCCCTAAATAATTTCACGGTTTGTCAATCAATTTCAGTGGCAAATAAACAACCTGTCTCCGTTTTTTCCCTCTGACTTTCAACCATTTCGCAGCACTTGAATATTGCGAGTGTGTGTGCACAACACTGGAGGTCTGTCAACTTTTTTTTTAAATACTTACACTGTTAAAATTTCACTGTTAAGACATAATACAATTTTAACTTAAATAAAAGATTAACTTAAAAAACAATATAATATTAAAATGAGCGAGTTCCTTAGGCATAGTAGGTATCTTTTTTGTTAGTAAGCTTTAAGTCTTTTCCTAACATTAAAAGAAAAATCTTTTTCAGTGTTGCATAACTAACAATTTTTCTGAAACTGTTCCGCATGGACCACTTGACTTTCGGCCGTTCCCCAACCTTTATTTATTTCTCAATTTCGGAATCGAAACTTTTCCGCTGATTGTTTGTATAGGTCGCGCCAGTATGCGAATTCCTTGAAGCAACGTTCCCATCTTGGCC